TTATGTTATGTTATGTTATGTTATGTTATGTTATGTTATGTTATGTTGTCATTTTGGTTGTTTATGAAACTGAACCTGGAATGGAATGTCTGGGGAGGGAAGAAGGTTCCCCTCATTAAAATCCTCAGAAAAAGAGGGGACAATCACTTCTCAGGTTTATTTTCTGTTTGACATTAGCATTTTATTCTCTAACATTTCCACATCACATTAATAAAGCAAACTGTGTAACCATATGAGGATAATTTATTTTATCAAATTGTATAACCATGATGATAAGCAGCAACTGTACTTGTTTTTTGTCTTAAAACTGCAGTTATTTTCCTAAACAGATGTTAAATTATTGTTTTTGAAAGTTTAACTTCTGTTTATTTTATTTTTTACACACATGTCTAAATTTTAATGTTTTATTATATACTTTGTTTTTATATAATAAACATTTATAGGTTACTCCTAGTCTGAGAGAGGTCTTTTATAACCAAACAAAACAATTCAGTAAAACAGTCACCTCATCTATGAATGCCTGAAAGATTCACATCTGCAGCACTGACAACTGTCTTTTTTAAGTTAACGGAAATCTATTCAATATCTCTCCCCCTTATCTGCTATTAGAAAAGAACAACACATTTCTTGTAGCAAACATATATAGTCAGGCAAAAAAAAAATTCCTTCAGTGACTGTATACAAATATATATATGGATATATACACATACACACACATACAAATATATATACATACACACACAATACACACATATATACACACATGTCTCATTCCATACCTAACATGTCCTATCGCCTCAGGGTTGGTAAAGGAATGTGTATTGGGCATATTTTAGAAGACAGGCTTTTTCACATACAAATAACATTCTTGTCAGCTTGGAAATTCTATGATTCTCTATTTCTATACAAACAGGAGACATGTAAACCAGCTGCAAGTGGGGATAAGCAGCTAACGCGATGAGAATTTCAGACCACAATCTTCTTTTATATTTCAATACTTCTATTATATAACGGAGGTTATATATTAATAATGATAGATAAAATTTATATTGTACTTTCTATGTGCCAGGCACAGTGCTAAGCACTTTAGAAATATTATCTCTTTGAGCTCCACAACAACCCTGAAAGGTAGATACTATTATTATGCCCATTTAACAGATGAGGAAAATAAGGCAAACAAAGGTCAAATGATTTGCCCTGAGTCACATGATTTATAAGTCCCTGAGAATGGATGCAAACTCTTCTTGACTCCAGGCCCAGCGGTCTATCCATGGCACCACCTAGGTGCCCAATCTAGCAGCCATAATCTTAGACTCTCCATTGAATTTTAGACACAATATTGTCTTCACAATATTCTGGGACCCAAAGAATTCCTCACAGTAACCCAATAATGATTCTATCAGAGCCTACCTAGGCTGGGCCATTCCCAACACCTAAGGTATGTCCCCAGGTCTGTGTTTCAAGCTTCCCATGCTGGGTAGAACAAGTCAGAACTTAAGCTTCTCTGCTGTCATTTTGTATCACCAGTTCCACTCCTGTGGGAAAAAGACACCAAGAAACCTTCTCCAAGGGATTTATTCTATCACATGATTTGCTACAGTGACTCAGGTCATAGCACCATGAGGCCACATGATGCAGGAGGAAGAACTCAGCTGGGAGTTCATGAGAAATCCTGGATCTAGTCTTTACTTCTCTTGTGAGTAAGCAAGTCCCTTAACATCTCTGCAGCATAATTTCCTCAGCTGTAAAATGAGAGGATTGGACTAAATTGATGAGCTATGTAAAACAGAAAGGGACTTAAGACTCACATTTTATAGATGAGGAACCTAAGGACCAGAGAAATTGGACAATGGATCTGGAATTCAATGCTATGCTCTTTCCACTGCATATATTTTCAGCAGACACAATAAACAATGTCACACAAATATGAACAACTTTCCAAATAGATGTACTGGTTGTTGTCACAAAATTTAAACATCCATTCAAAAGCACTAATGAGGGGCCAACTAGGTGGCACAGTGGATAGAGCAGCAACCCTGAAGTCAGGAGGACCTGAGTTCAAATCCGACCTCAGACCAAACACTTGACACTTACTAGCTCTGTGACCCTGGGCAAGTCACTTAACCCCAATTGATTTAAAAAAAAAAAAGCACTAAGGACTTCATAGGAACATTTTGATATGATACCTCAAAGAACAATGGAAATAAAGAGTACCATCAGGAAAACATATAAGTGGGAAAGATGATGGTCTGGTCCAAGGAAAGTGGTAGAAGTCATAGGTGGCTGGTCAGAGTGCTCCATTTGTATCCCCTCAATGTTGAGAGAAAGCAAAAAATGAAAATGCAACAAATTGCTCTTAGAGGCCTCATTTTCAAGATATAAAAGGAACTGACTCAAATGTACACAATAAGAGTCAAATGATAAATGATCAAAGGCAGTTCTCAAAGGAAGAAAGACAGTCTATCTACAACCACATAAAGAAAATGTCAAAAAATTTAATAATGAGAAAGGCAAATTGCAGCCATTCTCAAATTCTACCCATCAAATTGATAAACATGAAAAAAAATGGCAAATGTTGCAGATGCTGCAGTGAAATGGTTGGTGCACCTGTAGATGAGGACAATTATTCTGGAAAGCAATTTGGAATTAAGTACAAAAGGCTTCCTAAAGAGCACATACCCTTTGACATAATTATAACACCACTAGCTCTGCATCTAAAGAGAACAAAGAAATAGGAAAGGGGTCTGATATGTACAGAAACACTTAGAGCAGCTCTTTTTGTAGGCAAAAAGGTGGGGACTAAAGGGATACCCATCAGTTGGGGAGTGGCTAAACAAATTGTTGCATATGAATTGGTGGAATATTATTGTGTTGAAATAAGTGAGGAAATCCACGATTTCAGAAAAAGAGAAACACTTGTGGGAATTGATGAAAAATAAAGTAAGCAAAACAACAAGAACACTTTATACTGTAACATCAGTTTTATAAAAATAAACTCTTTTGAATGAATACTTTAAAAACGAAGACTTACAAATGCCGAATGAATGAAATTGGCAGAAATGAGAGAATAGTTTATACAATAGCAACAATACAGTTCAGACAAACAACTTTGAAAGCTATAAGAACTATAATCAACTCTATAACAATCCAAGACTCCACAGGACTGATGATAAAGCATGTTACCCACATTCTAACTGATAGAAAATAGATTCAGGTTGCAGATGAGACTATTTTTAAAACACAGCTAATGAGAGAATTTATTCTGCTTGTACATGTATTTGCTACAAGGAATTTGTTTTTTTCTTTTTTCCTACCTTGGAAAGAGATGGGAGAGAAAGAGATGTATTTCTTTTCATTAAAAAATAAAACTCTACTTAAAAAAAGAGAGAAAGCCAAATAAAACAATGTTATATTTCTCCCTGAGATCAAAACCTTTCAGTACTCTGAAAATATATTTATGTTAATTAACAAATCAAACATTAATCTTAAAAAGTGGAATCAAGGAAGGACCACAGCATATGGGGCAGACCTTCTATCATAATTTTATGGAGGGACAGAGACAGGAATTACTCAGAATGACAATGGTGGAGGAAGTATGATCTGCATCATTGGAAGTGAAATCCACATGGAGAGGACCACAGATGCATTTGAATATTTTTTCTTTCCAATCAAGGGCTGCTAATAGCACAACATTAATCTTTGAAATATAGAAGTTCACAAAATTAAAATAGAAAGTAATCCCTATACTCAAAAAAAATGGAAGGGGGACCCTGCCTTAAAGAATTTACAGTGAGCTCCATACTATACTGAGGCATCAGAGTAGAACTTCTATCATCTGAATAAATGAATAAAGATAATTCCTCACATTTCTCCTATGTGTATTGTTGTACTGTTAGAGAGAGCTGCATCCCAGGTCTTCTACCTCCTAATTCCAATGCTCCAGCTACAAAGATGGAGGACATGGTTTGGTAAAGGTTGGGGGGAAATGTACTCACGATTCTCTTTCATGCTTGAATTCTGAAGGATTTTCTGCATGGCTCCAACACAGTATCTCTGATTGTAACGTTTTCTCACTTCAGTCCAGAAAGCACTTTCCAAAATTGATTTGAAGATATGAGCACTAGGATTCAGAACCACCCATTGTCCTTCTAGCATGTCTATCTGGATCAAATCTTCTCCATCCAAGCCATACTTCACAAGGCTGCCCAACTGGATATCGCCATCTAATTCACAATTGCAATGAATCTGTAATGTGTGATTCCCTGGGGGGAGGAAAAACATGGGATACTCTGAGAGAAAATTGAGTATGGAGAAATCGATGGAGGGAAACTGTGTTGTGGATCCTGGAAGAAAAAAGTATTTGTTTTGTGAACTTTAGAGGTAACTTGAATGTGAGGTAGAAATATCCTGCTTTCTAAAAGGGAGCCTGATTCTCCAAGCCTAGGAAGAATCCAAGCAAAGATAGGAAGGGAGCTGTCAAAGGACAGAGAAGATTAGGAGTCAAGAATAATTCAGCCTTTTTATTGATTTCTATTTATCTTGTCCTACTGCATTCTTTTTGAATCCATATGTAGTCTTTTCTTTTATATATGGACTATAGAATAAGCACATTTCTGTGATTTAGAATCAATAAAAATGAGGGATAAAATTTTTAAAAAGTACAAATTAGGAGCAGATGCTAAGAAGAGGGAGGAAACAAGAAAAAAAGAGGATGAGGAAGGAAAGAAGGAGCAGGAATAGGAGTAAAGGGAGTAGGAGGAAGAGAATGAGGACAAGGAAAAGGAGGAAGAAAAGAAGAAGATGATGATGATGATGAAGCAGCAGAAGAAAAAGATGATGAAGCAGAAGCAGAAGCAGAAGGAGGAGGAGGAGGAGGAGGAGAAGAAAGATATCAGGGAGCCAAGGAATCAAGTGGGACTGATCACTGAATTCAGGGACCAAAGAAGACCTAAAAAAACTTGGGAAGAAATAAAATGTGTAAACTCTGAAGTAGAAGGAGATGGCCCTCTGAACTGATTTCAATGAAGGATTTGGTGTCTTGGGAAGCTGATGTGATTTAGAACTAGATCCTTCACAGCTGGTTCCCTACAGAATGAAGTAACAGTGGTCTGAGCCCCTGGTTTGGCATTCTTTTTTTTTGCTTTTTGGTGAAACAATTGGGGTTAAGTGACTTGCCCAGGGCCACACAGCTGGTCAGTGTCAAGTGTCTGAGGTCAGATTTGAACTCAGGTCCTCCTGACTCAAAGGCCGGAGCTCTGTCCACTGCACCACCTAGCTGCCCCCTGTGTTGGCATTCTAATGATCCAGGTTACTGGGGATTGGTCCAGCAGGCTTGGTTGACAGAAGATGAGTTAGGGTGAGGGGAAGGATGGAGGCAAGGCACATCTGGCAAGGCATGACTTACTCTCAGTCTTGGTGTCATTTCTTGTCAGGTAATGGAGGACAAACTGGAAATCTCCCTCGTGGTTCTGCATCAAACGTCTCATCTCCTCAATTAAGTTTGTTCCCACAGCCTCAGCAATCCAGGCTGCCTTCACAGTAATCTGATGGTTTGATTTGTAGTAGGAAGCCCACTGAATGTCATCAATGAGGCCAACACTAATGAGGTCCAAAAGAGTTCGGGATGTGCCCACTGCAGTATGTTTCGCCTCATGTTTGTGGTGAGCTGAATGGCAAGATGGGAAAAAGAGAAATGAGGGGTCAGATATAAAGGGCCTCGGAAGCCTAGAATCCCCTCATACCCATCCATCTTCCACTACTACGTTTCATCATTTATATATGTAGTCAGGGTTTGGAGCAGTCTCAGATCACATGAAGGAGGTACCCTTTGTCTTGGAGATGTTCTGTATTTCCATATCACATGAATGAGAGAAGCTTCCTTTGATGGAATGTGCAGCTACAATAGTTTGTGTTGTTCAAACTGATAGACTGGGATACACTTGCTCTCCTTACTGCAAACTTTTTGCTGCTTAGCACCCAGAGTTTGTGAAGGTTCACTCACAGTATGGTCACAATGAACGAAACTGATGAAGGGGGAGCCCTCCTCTCTCCTTGTAGGCCCGATGGCCCTGAAAAATGGTCTTAGAGTTTCTATTTTTTCTGGTCCTCTCTGATTCAGTTACAAGAGGTAGAATTTCACTATTGATTGCAAGAACACAAATTAAAACAATTCTGAGGTACTACCTCTTACCTATTAGATTGGCTAATAGGACAGAAAAAGAAAATGACAAATGTTGGAGGGAATTTGGGAAAAATGAGACATTAATGCATTGTTGACAGAGTTGTGAACTGATTCAACCATTCTATAGAGCTATTTAAAACTATACCCACATAGCTAGAAACACTGCATACCCTTTGACCACTACTAGATATTTATCCCAAAAGAGCTAAAAAAGCAAAAAGGAAAAGGATGTGTGTGTACAAAAATATTCATAGCAGCTGTGTTCTGGTGGCAAATCATTGGAAATTGAGGGGATGCCCATCAATTGGGAAATGACTGAACAAATTGTGGTATGTGATTGTGATGGAACACCATTGTGCTATAAGAAAGGGATTATCTAATTGCTCTCAGAAAAGCCTGGACTTACATGAGCTGATGCAAAGTGAAATGCACTGTCTATAAAGTACTGTGATTGCACTATTTTCAGCAATAAAGAGATCCAAGACAACTCTGAAGGACTTATAATGAAAAATGCTATCCATCACCAGAAAAAGAACTGATGGTGTCTGAATACAAACTGAAGCATAATTTTTTTTTACTTTCTTTCTTTTTTTATTTTTTTGTCTATATTTTCTTTCATAATGTGACTATTATGGAAATGTTTTGCATGACTGCACATGTAAAACCTATATCAAATTGGTTGTCTTCTCAATGAAGAGTGGTGGGAAGGGAGGAAGGGAGAGAATGTGGGACTCAAACTTTTGAAAACAAATGTTGAAAATTGTTTTACATGTAACTGGGGGAAAATAAAATAATAAATAATAAAGAGGTAGAATTGTCACCTACTAGACTCTGAACTAAGCCATGATGACCTTAGAGGCAAGATTCCAGGTTGGATTACAGCCAACCAGTCCCAGAATGGAAGCTCTGAAAAGCCATGGTACTTGCAACTATAGTCCAAGGGCATCTTTGGATTTGCAACTTGGGAATGTACTGTATAGGAATTGAGTTAAACTCTGAATTTAATCCCCTTCCCCAACCTGGAGTATGAGGCAGTGCAAGGGAGAATTATACTGCCCAGTGTTGAGGAGTATGTTTGTCTATTTGTTATGCCTTTGAAGCAAATATTCCTTTGTAAAAGCTAATCTCGGGGCAGTTAGGTGGCACAGTGAATAGAGCACCGGCCCTGGATTCAGGAGGACCTGAGTTCAAATCCGGCCTCAGACACATAACACTTACTAGCTGTGTGACCCTGGGCAAGTCACTTAACCCCATTGCCTGGCCAAAAAAAAAAAAGCTAATCTCAGTGTTAGGTGGTTAAATGAAACTGGGTTGCAGAAATTACCCTCCTACAATTGGGGGAACATTATTGGTGGAGGTTGGAGCCAATAGCATAGAGCCTCACAACAACTAAACCACTTAAGGGTACTAGGTGGAATATAACACACCTGACTTTCAGGAAGTGGGGCCAGGGTAATCACTGTTGCACATTTATAAGGGGGGGAATTCCAGATCCTTTCCAAGATAGCATTCCAGAAAAAATTATGCAGACTGCCAACCTTCCAATCAGGACCTGTCATAGGACTGAATACAAATCAAGCATCAGTGAGAAGTGCTGATGTTATAAAGGGCTCTGAATGTCAAACAGAGGATATTATATTTGATCCTGGAGGTAATAAGGAGCCACTAGAGTTTATTGACTAAGAGAGTGACATGGTCAAATTGGTTCTTTGAGAAGATTAATTTGGCAGCTGAGTGGAAAGGATGAACTAGAATCAGGAGAGACGTGAAGCAGGAAAAACAAGATGGTTATTACAACAGTCAATTACAACAGTCAAGGTATGAAATGATGAGAGCCTACATCAGTGGGGTGGCAGTGTCAGAGGAGAGAAGGGGGCATATACAAGAAATGTTCTAGAAGTAAAACTGACAGGACTTGACAATAGTCCTGGGGAGTGAGAGAGAGTTAGCTGTTGAGGATGGTGCTTAGATTGTAAGCCTGAGTGACTGGTCAGTTGCTGGTGCCCTAGACAATGGTGTGGATGTTTGGAAAGGGAAGCCTTTGGGGGGAAAGATAGTGAGTTCCACTTTGGGCATGTTGAGTTTAAGAGGCCTTCTGGACATCCAGTTGGAGATGTCCAAGAGACTTTTGGAGATGAGTTACTAGAGGTCAAGAAAAAGGTAAGGGCTTGATAAGTAGTTCTGAGAATCATAGAGATTATCTATGAATCCATGTGAGCTGATGGAATCACCAAGTGAAATAAATCCACATTAATTAATAGACCACATCTCTGAGATAGATGGGAATGCCCTTCACTTCTCACTGCCTTTTGAAGAATATCTCCTTTCTAATAATCAGGGACTAGCCTTGACCAATGGAGGTGCCAGCAGCCCCAATGGGAATTAGCTTGTGGTACTCAGAGTTCCTTTCTCTAAGGTTCATGGATCTCATCAAAAATCTGCTCTATTCGATCTTCTCCCTGGCTTATCTGAGGCCCCAGTGAAACATATCCCTGCTTCAGTCTGCTCTGGTCAAACATTGGAGACATTTTTGTGTCAAAAAAGTAGTGATGTATGCAATATAATGCTGGACCAATATAAATGAAGCTTTTAAAAAAACAGCCATACCTGTGATTTCATCAGCACCAGAGCCACCTGTAAGATAGATCCTAATGAACCTGTTCTGCACCTTATGGTCAGGGAGTTCCCTGGGACACTGGGAGGTTCAATGACTTGCCCATAGTCACACAACTAATATGTATCAGAGGTGACACTGAAGGCTGGGCTTCTTGACTGACAGGCCAGCTCTCTATTCATTATTCCCTATTGTCTTTCATAAAGGACACATATCAATTTTTTAAAACATATTTCTGAGTACAGAGACAATGTTATAAGATAACAACCCATGGCATTTATCACTTTAGACCCAGCCCTCAAGTGGGTACATTGGTATAGCCTCATTCCCTCCTCCCCATCTCTTTCGTCAGGCTCTCACAGGGGCTGTCTTGGTCCTTCCTCCTCCCCTCTTCAGGTATGACAGCCTGGACAGCTCCCATCCTGCCTTTCTCCCCTAGGCATGAGTCAAGCCCATCTCAGGAGATCTTTGAAATTTAAGCACATTAAAGAAAGCTGTAGAACTCCCATTTCTCCATTATTTACACTGCGCTGATTGATGCAGCCAATGTCCTTCGTTGATCCCTGCTGATTCTTGCTGAGAAATGGACAAAAACCAGAAAGTTGTCTTGAAAGGCACAACCTCTGTCTTAGGTAAAATTTTCCTTTCTCTGAAGACATTTCTCTGATTGACTCAGACTGGTTGGAGTCACTGGAATTTTATCTCCAGGAAACAAGGTAATAGTTCTGTCCAGTTGCTCCAAGTTATATCCTTGCTTCTCTGTGCCTGTATATTTCCTTTGTCTTTATCAAGTCTCCCCATCAGACTAGGAGTTCCTTGAGGTCATGATCAATGTCTCCTCTATCAGATAGGTAGCTCCCAGGGTCTCCTCCACAATAGGCCAGGGCATGAGGTCATTATTTGTGTTTCTCACATCATACCAAGCTTTCCATATGAAACCCAGACCTCTACATCCCCTTCCCCCAATTTTCCCAGACTCACCTGTCTGGATCTCCCTCAGAGCAAACAGCACCACAATAAGTAGCCAGGATGAGAACAATCCTCTCTCCTTTCTCCAGCTCATCATGCTGCTCTGTATATATCTGTTAGAGGCCTCTGAATCACCCCACTTAGGAAAATTACCAGTCCATAAGCTCCCTCTGCCTAATGTCTCTTATGCAGGAAAAGAAGCCCTTTTATACCCAAGGCGTTACTTGCTTTGATATTGACTCTGCCAAGCCCCTGCCCTCCTATCACTGCCAGAGGGGATATCTGTCACCAGGCAGAACCTGCCACTGCCTGGAAGGGGTAAAAGTGGAAGTGAAATGGAGCCTGTGGCAAGAGCAGGAAATCCTTGCCTGTCATTACTTTCAGGTGTTGTTGGGGAGCTACAAAGTGGGGATTCACTATGCCATGGGCACAGCTGGCATTTGTAACTGTTAGTTGAATTAAATACATGTTAGATAGTACAAAAAATAGAGTGCTGGACTTGGAGTCTGAAAGACCTGAGTTCAAATTCTGCATTAGACACTCCCTAGCAACTCCCTAACCTCTCCATTTCTGTTTCCTTATCTGTAAAATGTGGATAATTATTGCACCTACCTCAAAGAGCTATGGTGTTCAAATGAGTTAATATATTTAAAATGCTTTGCAAATGTTAAAGTGCTATATAAATAATTATTATCATTATTATTATTATTATTTCTGATCACAGAGATCATGGGGTCAGTCCCCAGTGAAGTGGGAGAGATGATCCTGTCCTTAGGGAGTCCCTGTTCTAATGGGGAAACACAGTGCCCACCCTCCATGGTCCTTTGGTCTGAGAAGAGAGGCAAAGGATCTGCCTTCATGGAGCCCTCAGTCTGAGGCGCCAAGCAGTTGTTGACTTCAGGAAGTCTTCAGATCGAAAGCATCAATAGTTGTAGATTGTGACATCACTGAGAAATGTTTTCTTGAAAGCTACTTCGCAGCTCCCTGGGTTCATTTCTAAAATTGAATCATGATTGCCAGCTCACTGTGAGTCTGGCTTCTCCTCTCAAAGCGTGTCCCATCCTGCCTCACCCCTGTGGTTGAGCCTAAGTGCCCTCTGGCCTTGGACAAGGTGATTTGGGGCTCATCCCTGGGCATCAATCATCACAATTCAGGTCATTCCAGAAGCTATACTTCTGCCACCAAATGTTCCCTTGTGTCTCTACTCCCTTTCTTTACAATTACCTTCCACTATCTCCCCCTGGACATTATGGCATCAGCTCAAACCCAGCTCAATAAACAAATATAGTATGTGATCCATCTTCCAACTGGCTATACCCACAAGATGCACTAGTATTTCCTATACACATTGGAAAATATACATCCAGTTTTATTTCCTATACACATTGGAAAATCTACATCCAGTTTTGGAGCCCTAAAGAGTAGGGATGTTTCTTATGGATTTGGAGGGTAACCAGTATTGGATTTAATTGTTTTAATTTTCAGGAGATGAAAATGATTAATATACTGTGTGTCTATCCACATCATTCCCTTGCTGTACTTTAGTGATTTTTTACACTGAAGTATATAACTTCACATTCCTCTCTATTCAAATTGATCTCATTGTATTGATCGAACATTCTAGCCTATTAAGACCTGTTTGGACCCTGACCATAGAATCCAAAGTAGTAGCTCTCCCTTTCAGCCTCATGTCACCTGAAGATCTGATAACTATGCCATCCAAGTCATTGATAAAAATTATGTAATTGACATAAGCCTTCAGGTTGTCAAATTTGGGAAGCCATACTATCACACTGTTTCATGTGTTGGGCCATCAGGTCAAACAGATGATAAACTTTGACTTACTTCGGTTACTCTGTCAAAATGCATTTATTTGATGCCCAGAGATGGAGTGTTGTGGTATAAAATAAAAATAGAGCAAGGTGATTGGTTTGTAAAGTACCTTGAAGGGACTTAGAAAGGTAAGAAGGGATCAGGTTGGGAAGGGCTTTGAATCCCAAAGAGTAATTTGTATCTAGTCCTAGAAATAATACAGAGCCACTGGAGTTTATTGAGTAAGGAGGTAATGTGGTCAGACATGCACTTTAGGAAAATCATTTTCACAGCTGAGCAGAGGCTGGATTGGAGTGAGGAGAGACTTGAGGAAGGAACACCAATTTAAAGGCTATTGTAATAGTCCAGACATGGTAAAAAGGGCTAGTGACTGTATAAGCAGAAAAAAACGGGTATATATGAGAAGGATTGTGAAGGTAGAAAATACAAGATTTGGCGATGGATTGGATACATAAAGTGATTGAATATGAAGAATTGAGGATGATATTGATGGCACAGTAAAACACAAAGTCCTGGGGAGCAAGGGATAGTAAATCAGGCTTTGTGACAACATCGAATTCTCTTCTTGGTCTTCCTGGAAGAGTGGTTCTTCCTCTTTGGGGTCTCCCTCCCACACTGGCTCCCAACCTGTGGCCTGGATCTCCACTAGTCACCCGCAGATATATGACATTATTCACTTCCCTAACTTTGACTGGCATCTAGATGACCACAGATAGTGAGATATGGGGAAACCCCACACTTCAACCTCAACATGTTTTTTTTCTGGCTTGAAAGGTGGGCAGGGTTCCAGAGACCACACAGAATACTGGGCTATAAATGGAAGACAAAACTGAAAATATTTGAAAATAGGGACTATTTTTCCTGTAGAAACTCCCACGCTCCCCCTTCCCCTATTATCCTGGTGAAACTTCACCCTCTTTGTACATAAAAACTCCAGGTTTCTGCTCATTGTTATCTTTTCTGGGTGTCTAACATTGTGAATTCTCAGAAATTATCAGATTATCTCTGCTGACAGGGAGTTGACTTGTCTAGGAACCTCAGCAACCACTAACAGAACAAGTGGGGCAGCTTGTGCAGGTCTGTACTCAGTCACACTGTTAAGGGAATGTGTTCTTACTGTCATCTAACAGCTAAAGGATGCAGGATTACACAGGAATGGACAGTCCTGAGGTGAGGTCAAGCTGGGACACCATTGAAGGATGTTAAAGGAGGCAGTGCTGGGCAAAAGCTGGTCTGATAATGAGGGAAGAAAGTTGTATCATCTAAAATACATGAGGCTGCCATTCTCCAGGAGCCCTATGGCCAGCACAGAGCCAGGCATATCTGCAAGTGGGTTGACATGGGATAAACAGGAGTCACAAAGCAGCCCTAAGGCAAAAGCTTGGTAGCCTAAAGATCTCCACAGATTTACAAGTTTACTCCTGTGTCCTGTTCCCACTTACTCATAATCCAGATAAGCTTTAGCACCAGTATCCTAGTAACCTCTGCAAGTCTAAATTGAAATAGCTGCCTAAAGGGTCTTCTTGCATTCATCCTCTCTTGTCCTCAGTCCATCCTCCAAAGTTGCCAAAGTGATCATCTTAAAATCCTAGGCTATCTCACAGCCCAACTCAAGAAACTGCAATGGCTCCCTATGATCTCTAGAATGGCATACAAACTCATCTGACATTCAAAGTCCTTTCCAATCTGTCTCTACTCTATCTTTCTGGGCTCATTTGCACATCCAGGCCATTACAGGTTCAGGGAGGTCATGATCAAAATCAAGGAAGCAGATGTTACTAGCAGGGTTGAAATATATGCCACATCTTATTCTCTTTCCCTACACACAGTCTGCACTCAAATCTAATTAATCAAGTCATCAGCAATGTAGACAATGTCACCATTTTCAAAAAAGCAATATTTATAGGTCTTCAACCTGGATATAATCCTCTGAACTTAACTTTGTTTTCTTGAAAATTTCTAGAATGAACCATTAAAGGGATGGTTTATAAGCTCTTGAAAGGATACTCTGATACAACATGGATTCCTCAAGAACAGGTCATTCTCAGAATAATCTCATTTCTTTTTTCCTCAAGCTTACTAGGCTGGTAGATCAGGGGAATGCCATAATGCCAAATTATTCAGTCAGGGTTTTGACAGAGGCTCTTATGCCACGCTTGTGCACAAGAAAGACAGATACCAACTGAGTTATTGTATAATCAAGTGGATTCAGAAGGGGTTGAATGATCAGACCCAAAGAATTGATGACTCAATATAAATTAATAACTTTAACTAATGAATGAATTAATGACTACAGACAGTAGTATAATAGAATGGCCCAAGGTTCTGATGTTGGCAATGTTTTTGTCAATGTCTTTGATAAAGACCAAGAGGACATTCTTATCACATCTTCACATGATACAAAATTCTAAGGGTTAAGCAATATGCTGGATAAAATAACTGGGATCCAAACTGATCTTTAGCTGTGACAATGAAATGACAAAAATATGGAGAAATAAAATGAAAGCTCTGTGCTTGGGTTTAAAAAAAAACAAAGTATACAAGAATAGGATGTGGGAGTCATAATTAGCTACAGTTGATATGTAAAAGATCAGGGGGTTTTAGAAGATGGTGAGCCGTATATGAGTCAAAAGGGTAATGTGGCAGCCGGGCAGCATTAAGAGAAACAACATGTAGAATGATGGAGGTGTCAGGCCTTCTATGCTTTGTTCTAGGAAGGCTGCATCCAGAGTCGTACATGTGACATGGGTTACCATGCGGGAAGGGCACTGAACAGTTGCCACTTTTTTCAAAAGATGATGACCAGGATGCTGAGAGCACTGGAAACCATGTTGTATGGAAGTACCAGGAAACACTTAGCCCAGAAAAGAAAAGGTTATGGCAGGACTTAATAAGCCCCTTCTGGGATTTGTAGGGTTGTTGTGTGGAAGAGAGATTGTGGGTGTTTCGTTTTGTTCAATAGTGCAGAATCTGAAGTTCCACTGTGAGTGGAAATTATAGGCACAAATATTTCAATTCAATAAAAGGAAATACTTCTTAATAATTAGAATTGTCCAAAATGTGAAAAGAATGGCATTTTAGGTAATGAATCCCCCACCACTGGCTATTTTAAAGTGGGGGCTAAGATTAGTAGAAGAGTCAAAACATAAGGCAGTACTGGGGAGAATAAGGGGCAGTTCTGGACATAGGTCTCTCCCTGCCTTGCTTCATGGAGTCATTCATTGGCTTTTCCCTCATGTCTAAACTGTCTTTATTTCTCTTAATTCCAGAACTGCTTTCTAGCATCTATGTATTTGACAGTGTTCTGGGATCTGTACCCAGTCAAAAGGAGCCCAGGTGCAGTCA